TAGATCCTAGTATTAAACCAACATAGATCCAAGTTTGTCAGAAAACGGGAAAGTATTCATGATCACTGCTTTCATGTTGTTTGATGACAAGAGGAACTTTCTTGTCAATTACTGATAGTAAAACAAAACCAAAAAGTAACATCATAGTAACGAAAACGTTTGATTAAAAGATATTCGTTGCTCGTTTTCTTATTACCATATTGTATTCACAGTAGCTCAGTCAACATATCAGCACAGAATAGACAATAATTTGGAGATATACTTCAAATTAGTGACTAAAATCTTTACTCTATAACCATTTTCTTATAATAAAATGTTACAACAAGGAGTTACGTGGTGTACCATCTAATGAATTCGGTGTATTTCAAATTGAAGCGGAGGAAGAAATCAGGAAGAAGCGCTGGAAGTGGATAGGACACATATTGAGAAAGGCACCCAACTGCGTCACAAGACAAGTACTCACATGGAATCCTCAAGGCCAAAGGAGGAGAGCAAGACCAAAGAACACATTACGCCGGGAAATGAAGATAGACATGAGGAAAATGAACAAGAATTGGATGGAACTAGAAAAGAAGGCGGAGGACAGAGTGGGTTGGAGAATGCTGGTCGGCGGCCTATGCTCCATTAGAAGTAAAAGGTAGAAGTAAGTAAGCAAGTATGCCGAATTGATAAAAACAAATCGAGAGAATGAATATTCGGTTACAATTAATTTCTCGTCAATACTCTACACTAATACAGAGATTTTTACTTATTTATAAAACCAATACAAAATAAATCTTAGTCGAATAGTTTAACAATCACAATATTTTTTACCAAATATTGGAAACAACCAGATGATTAAACCATTGGATATCTGAACGTCACTTTGCATAGTTGACGAAAGATAAAATGAGATAATAAGTTGATACGGATCAGGACCCACATTTTACCTTCTAGGTTTATCGATAGAACTTCATCAACCCTGTCATCATAGACTTTCAGAATCTGTCACTCATATACAACGAAAGCCAAAGTAACATGTGTCAATGAACCTGATCTGGTGTGCAGAAAGCCTTCATACAGTCTCTTCAGTTATCATGGTCTTCAAGTCGGGTACTGTTGCATTACTCAAAAAATAAATTTTTAGTTTTTTCTGTCAGGTTTATTCAACTGAATTCCTCATTGTGTTTCTGAATAATCTGCCTTGAGTGCCAGATCATTTGACTTTCTGTGCATCTGTATTGGGTTATTTAGACAGTTGTAGTTTTAAAAACGACACTAAACATTCAAAAATCATTTGCCTAACTTCACAGTGAGTTAAAATCCGATTCATCACATAATTCATGTTATATTTCAGTGTAGATTGATGATGTTCAAATGATCAAACATAATGAATGACAATTATCAAACGAACTTGGAATAGATACCGAGCTCCGGTAGCCGTAGATGTAATGCGAAATGTATTGGATCGTTTCGTATAATCCTTTGTTTCACAAGCAGTTAATAGATTCTGTCCCATCAATAATCCAGTCTCTCCACGAAATGTATTGGATTGAGGACTTAAACACAAAATAAAATGACAAAATGTTTTTTTAGAACTTGAGAATGAAATTATTTCCTCAAATAACTATTTAGACAAAGTGAACAACTAATGCAAATTTAACACGTTTCTCGGCTCTAACGGATAATGAGTGGACTTGGTAAAGGTGGAAAGTCTCGTGCTAAGGTGAAAACGCGATCAGCCCGTGCTAGTCTGCAGTTCCCAGTTGGTCGTGTCCATCGCCTCCTTCGCAAGGGTAACTACGCAGAACGTCTCGGAGTTGGTGCCCCTGTTTATTTGGCGGCTGTCCTCGAGCACCTGGCGGCTGAAGTTCTTGAGTTGGCTGACAATGCCGCTCGTGACAATGAAATGTGTAGTGTTATGTTCCATTTATAATTGGTGAAAGTTCAATGAAGTGGCCATGAATAGTTAGATCATTGGTAAAGCAAATCATGCATATCGATTTACGACAAGGTTTCAATGAGTAAGAGCTAACTATTCTCCATTGAATTTGTAAGAACTAAGTATCCAATAAAAACGGAATTTTTTGTTTAAGATAACCACATACTTCCAATTTCAATCATACGATCTACAAACGCTTTATCCCAAATGTTTGGAATATTAGTGAATTTTACGAATCATTTGACTGGTGATATGTACAAACCACGAAATATTTTAATTAGTGTGCGATTTGTGATGGTGCAGTATTTTCTATATAAATATCATACTACTTTAACATAATTTAAGTAGTAACATCAGAAGCCCATCAAAATTTACGGCTTCTCGTGAACTTTGGAAAACACTATTTGATCAACTCATGAATTGGTATAAATAGTACATGAGGGTATTTCATCCATACTACAACTGGCCTGAGATGTAAAGTACTAGTGACAGAAAAATCAACAATGATGGGTGAAATATTTTTTTCATTTCAGCATAAACATGTAAACTCACTTATCTTCATTGTAATCAGATTTGTTTTTATAGGCTAACAACTGTTTAACTGATGTATTTAAGACCATATATAGTTCATACCAGGAACGATCGCGAGATTTACAATTATGATTAATCCATTCGTGTTTTCTCATTAAATAGTCACTTATAGAATCTATAAACAGTGTTTAGAAGAAATGATGGAAGTAAATTGAATAGCCTAATGAAAGTTAACATTTAACGAACAAAACACTACGATTGGAAGTCATTTAGTAATCATACCGTAACTTATAAATTTGATGCCTATAAAATTCAGTAATCATTGCTCTAGTCTACATATATATAGTAAAGAAAACACGTTTAGTTTATTTAAACATGCTTTAGTGAACAGAACATGGATGAGGACAATTGAATGTTGCATGTCAATAAGATCTGAGAACCAGATATTAAATCGTTAATTTGCAAAATGTCCACCAATTGTCTCAAAATGCCTCAGACTTCATTGTTCTTACATTTTCATACAAGTTGTATTCTATTCCCGCTCTTGCTTTCTTGATCTTCCCTCATCTTCTGCTGCCAAACATTACATTCCTGACTCGCATAATATACTACTTATATCAATATAAGTAACACGCACCACAATACTACATCAAATGAAAACATTACTAACTGGGAGAATTATAACAGCTAGTAACCACTGAGAGATTATTCAAAGTATAAATCAAATGTGTTAGTTTGTTTACTGACTGAATAATAGCCTGGACATGTATCATGTGAACAATGACGTCACATATTGTATTCTGATATAAACAGAGAGATATTCTATGATTAGATTTATCATCCAATTCAACTAATTTTCAATTATCAGAATGGGTTTTGTGGAGATTTTTGTGGAGATTTTTATAAATTTCACTGATTGATATCATGAGCCAATTGAAGCTAAACCACCACTGGAAACCTAAAAGCACTGGACGGCCGTTTCGTCCTAGTATAGGACTCCTCAGTGGCAGCGCGCATCCAGAATTATCACAGTTATTTAATTTGTGAAACTTTTGCATCTGTAACAAACGTGAAACACAAGCCTTTAAATTGTTTCATTTTATTAAACAATAACTTTTATCCTTCTTTTAGTGAAGTATACTAAGTGAAATAATATTTTGAAGTATTCTAAGTATATGATTAGATTATAAACAAACTTTCACGTTAGATGGTGGTTGGAGGTAGTCGGCAGGAAACTGTGGACTCGAGTTTCGTGCTACTTGGCACTCGTCATCAAGGTGTATCTGTAATCTTGAGGAAACTGGTGCTCTCTGGAGGATTCGAAGTCGTGTCAACCAGCTTCACAGTCAGAGACGTTATCACTGAGCTATCCGAGCAGCGACTTTCATGTTATCATCATTATCATCATCATCAAGGAAGTCGAGTTCAAATAGCATAAGTAAGGTATTTGAAAAACGTGTAAGCAATGATGTTACTAAATGTGGTTTTATATTATTTGTAGCTGATAGAAAGTCTCGAAATGAACTGAAAATCCTGTTTTTCCCACTTTTTTCTGTGATCATATCGAATAACCAGGAATTTTGAAATATTTAGTTTAGTTAAACTACTTTTTATAATAAGTGAATAAATTTTATTAAATTAAAAGCATGTGTGTTATATTAAACTACTGAATGAAAGATTCTGACCTTCTGTCGCCTCCCAACTAACTTCAGGTGAATCAGTAGTATCCTTTAAATTCTCATCTGTCATTGTGTCGACATTCTGCTTAGAATCATCGAGATCATTTGATGCATCTGTTTCGTTCAATTCATAGTAATTTAAAAGTGTTTGTATATTTTCTAGATCTGGACTGTGAACAATATTCACACAACTTATTGGCACATTCAGCATATTTTCTTCGATCTCAGCAAGTTCAAACTAAAATAAATTAAGAAAATATATGTAACATGCTGATAAATGATGGAGCCAAAGTGGGTGGGCATATATATTCTACACTGAAGAAAGTAATATGAAAGAGATGTCTGCCCTTCTTAATGAGCTTTTGGAAAAAGTTAAATATTCTAAAGACACATTGTGAAGTGTGAAAAATAGTAAACTTAAAGTCTTAAACTGTGAATGTGTATTAAAATTTAGATTTCATCTGTTATTCTTTAAAAGAGAATGAGATTTAAGAAATCACTATCAAAACGTTGCTTAACTGCGGTGATCGGACGAGAACCGGTGCTTTCAACGTGGTATGGTCGCCGACTTTTTTTATCTAACCAGCAATATAGCCTCTGCCAAGGAAGTCCTACTCACTGCCTTCTCGTGGCCATAGTGTTGTTTACGAAAATGAGAGAACGAAATGCGAATGTCCGGCGCTTTAACCGGGTTCCAAACTAATGGTGCACATGGGCTCCAGGATCCAGAAGGAACAAATGGCGTATGAACCAATTGTTGGTCACCGGCTACCATGTGACTGCATCTCCTTACGATGATCCACTGTCTTGTGGATCAGACCTTCAGGTCGAAGGCTAAGGGGGTGGCCTCCTAAGAAAACCACCTGCATCTCTTTGGGCACCCGGGCAGTATCACAACCCCTCAGACATATCGAATGAGATTTGTGTGGCGCATATATATTTAGTGCCTCTTTGTACCAATATCTATGTGTTAAAATAAATAAAATAATAAACTATCAAAATGACTAAGGTAACATTGAATTAGTGCTTATGCTTCATTGAAATATTATTCAATGCATAACGTCATTAGTTCACTTGCCTGGTCAGTAGAAAATCTAAAGTTCTATACATTTATGGAACCAAAAGTATTAACATGACTAGAGCAATTGTTCATATAGTTCACTAAGTGTGTAATGTTTTGAAATGTTAACCTTATATTATTATAGGCAATGTATGTTTATGGTTATTATGTCACATAAGCAATACTGACTGGATGATTCTCCCCACCTTTCACCGAGCTGAATATACACAATGACTGATCACTTACTATACAAGTCATAGAACATTATTATGATGAAACCCCGAACATTATACTTCAGCTTGTCTACCACCCCCCTTGAGAAATACACCACCCACTTCTTAATATAATCTTGAGGAGAACATAATCTTATCATAGTTAAAGACTAAAAAGAACTCAAGAGTTTGTGCATTCTAACAGTAATTCACTAGTGGTTGATACTTTGTATTGCGTTCCAAAAATGTTTTGAAACATATAGTAGCTATTTGAGCACTTTTCAAGTTTGACTCTAATCTTTACTTGTATAAGAGCCTTCACATTGAACTTGTCGCATGATATTACTCAAACGCTTATTTCCAAGTATCTTTGACTTTAGCTATTAAAAGTGAATGCAATAAGTGTCGATTTGAACTTTTAAGCAAATATTTGTTTCTGGATAACAAGTGAGAAATAGTGACCAGTGGAGTTCAATCAGGTCTGTTGTGAAGACAATGGTGGATGTGTCGCTCGATTTCATGGATTAATTTAAGTTAAACATTAACAGTGTTAGAAGTCGGCTCAGTGGTCTAGTTGTTGAGTGCTCGCGCTCGAAACGAGTAGATGCTGGGTTCGAATCTCTCAGGGGCGAGGTCGTGGATGCGCACTGCTGAGGGGTCCCGTAATAGAACGAAACGGCCGTCCAGTGCTTCCAGATCTAGCTTCAACTGACTCATGATCTTAACCATTGAATATTAAACGTTTTAAATGTGACATCTAAGCAAACCTTTGTAAGTTGTTTAAGTTTTTCATATCTGCTGATTTGTGGCAAAGTATTCCGTTCCAAAACATTTAATCGATCAATTAATATTTGTGTTTCCTTGATAGAATCACCCATATCTAAACATTCTACTTCTGCTGAATGAAGTACCAGCCAATGTTCCAAAGAATCTGCGACACTTGATAAGAAAAATAACAAATACATGTACGCAAATGATCACATGATAATCGAAATTATTAAATAGACTAAACAGTTGTACTAATTCTTCCTATGACTGATGAACGAATAGTTAGAAAACGAAGCAAAAAATAATATATATGTAACTATCACACCATAAAATGAGATAAAATAGTTCAACTTTCAGAGTTAGATAAATGCATATAGGCCACTTGGATTATGAGCTGACGTTTGAAATGTTGAATCGATGAATCAGTTTAGTTGACTTGAATTATAGATGATTTCAACCTTCTTCACTATCTAAGGCTTATTTCACAGTTCATTATTTGATTGATTATGTTCACACTATTTGCCAATAGAAGTATTAAGTAGTCATTGATCTCAATACATCTGAAATATTTTCAGTATAAAGTTAAACCTTTGTCACTTTAAAAGCATTACAATTTGACTGATTACATTGATAACCGATTCGTTACGAAATATAAACCTCTGATTAATGAATTAATTATGCGTGTCTAATAAGGAGGACCGCAATAACATACCAAAAACAAGTGTAAACTCCTCCCGGGTTGTCATTAGCATCCTGATTTACATAGAATTTGATAGGCTGAATCATAGAAGCTTAAAAAGCTAAAACTTTGAAAATATCTGTGTGAAAAAGCTCGAATCATAGGCATTGATTTCCGAGATTAGCCACATACGTTATTCGAAATGATTAAAGCAGTGACAGACAGGTTAGTTGCGAAAAAACATCAGCAGTAGAAACCCTTTGAAACGTAGCTGCTTAAATGGATGACTAAGTTCAAGATCAAGAGCATTTCTTGTGAATTGTCTTACAGACTGATCAAATGGTTGTGTAAAATAACGAAACCATTCATTGAATGATCAAATTTCAATAGTATAAGAAGTCAATTAGTGATCAGTTATCATTTAACTAACCTTGCAAATTCATTAATACTAAGTTGTAATTCTAGTCGTTCATATATTTGATGCCATTTCTTGTGCAAATTATACCATGATGTTACTAATCGTGTCATACGTAACCGGAGATCTGTTATTATTTGGTCTTCTTCATCGCTCATATGACTCTCGCGTTGTAAATCCGGTTGATTTAATGCCATAGATGATGAATCTGACTTTTGACTGTAATTTGCATTTAACCTCATAGATTCAAGGTGAAGATCAGAGGAAATTGATCTAACTGTTGCAATTCGACTGTGTTGTTCAACTTTTTCTATAATACAATCCTTGTCAGTAATATTCACATTTTGTAAGGTATTATTCCGTAACTTTTTCTGCTGTTCACTGATCTTACAAATTTGTATTTCATCAGTTGGATTATTAGTTCCATGTTGTTTTCCCATTTCCGTTTTCGAATATAACTGAGACATTTCGTATGGCTGATGGCACTTTTCATATCTTGACTTATCATATTGCATTAAATGTTGTTTGAATGAAGCTTTCAATCTTTTACCTTCTTCTAAATATGACTTGACTTTGTCATCTCTTGCATTTAGTTCGGCTCGCAACTGAAGTGCTTGACCAATGGCATATTTTATATTCTCAGTTGTACTGAAATATAAAAAGGACAATGTTTTATAAACTTTCGGTCATTTAGAGTAAAAACATTGATAAATAATTATGGGAAATATTTGAAATATAAAAGTAAACATAAAACCTTGTTAAATTCACCGATGAGCAGACTTAGCAACGAAATTGGACCTTGTTACTTATGCAAAATATAAAAAAATACGATCTAAGTATGGGACTTTTAAGGTTTTTTTGTTACTATGGTGACTAATTCATGCAGAACAACATGAAAACCAACTGATGTATTTTGTGAAGCTTAAAGATTTCATCTTTCAGCAAACAGCAAGTCTGAATTTGCTCATGTACCGAAGTTAGTCATTTTTTTTACTTCAATAAACTTGAAATTTGTAACTTAACCCTCATGGCATCGTAAAAATGACATTTCGCAGATAGAAAAGTAGTTAGTTTCTTTTCTATAATTAGGCACCAACATAACGAGTTATTATTTGTTTTGTTGTAGTCATGATACTGATGAGACCCTTTGATCTGACTCCATTTAGTGTGTACGTATGTTTGCTATCGCTGATTCTCGTATATCATCGTCGACTTAAATCACGTTAGTCCATAACGGAATTAAATAAGTCAATTAACGAGAATGGACATTGGATACATATATTTTGTATGTAAAGTGAATGCGATAGAACAAAGAGAAACGACGCACAGGGAGGATGGCTGTGAAGCCAACTCCAATTCAAGCCGAACATTACTCAATATTTATAGGCAGACAAAATGAACTACAGACATGTGATGAGTCATGGGACATCAAGTGTACATACATATACGCTCACATGAATACAGTCAAGGCTAACAAGCGAATAATTAACAAGGTCAAAACATGACTCAAGTAGAATGAGTAGAATGGAATGTCCGGAAACTAGAATAAGATATACTATGGGCTAAAACGAATGACTAACACTACAATACTACTGTAGTGAACGAAACAAAATTACAGAATATCTTAGTGAAATCTGAGAACCATACAATGTCAATCAATTGTCTAAAAGTTGAATGTTCCATTCACAAATATCAGTCAACTGTTTCAGACTTCATTGTTCCTACATTTCTATTTCGATTGCCTTATGTTCCCGTTCTTTCCTTCTTGATCTCCTTGAGATCCTGCTGCCAGACATTCCATTCCTAATTAACGTTATATACTACTTATGTTGATACAAGTAGCACGAACCACACTACATTCTAGTGCTGTTTTAAAAATTACGTTTTTTTAAAGTCACGCAGTTAGTTTCTTAAAAGATACTTTGAAGCAATGCTATTGAACAAACCACTGACATTGATAACTCGCTAGACATGGTTGAACTACGTGAAAATGCTTTATATTTATTACTTTACTCACTTCGAAATTAGACACTAGTTAATTTGGGTGATTAGTTCAGCAGTTGTTGGGAATAAAAATCTAAATTTCATCTTACTGAATGTTAATTTATCGCCCTTATGATGTGTGACAAAAAAAACCTTGATTCAGTATTGAGAAGCTCATAGTTTTTGTCTAAGAAAACCGGAATGCCAAGACTTTAGCAATTGATAGTTTGACAGTAATTTAGATAATTGCTGTTGTTAATAACCATTTGAAGAAAGAACAAACATAAACAGTTCGGTTGATCATGACCTAACATATTCAGATGTCTGAAATGCTAATTAAAGATTTTGAAGCCAACCGCAATATTTACTGTAAACCAGTTGGTTTCGTTATAAGTATACTACTTATTTTGATTAGAAATGATAGACATCAGTGAAGAAGATTTGTAGCTCAGGTGGATGATTTTGGTGGAGTTTTGTTCTTTGAGCTGGATAGTTTGGTTGTGGCCAAAACTCCACCAAAATGATTGAGATTATCTGGAATAAATATAGAGTTTTATAAATGCTTTAAAGTAAAAAGAAATAAATGACCACATGAACTATTGTGCACCATTTGTGTGGTACGAACTAACAGAACTAAAAAGCAACTGTTCAATAGACTCACAAATGAGTTAAGAATGAATGCTGAAAAATATGAAATTATAAACTACTATTTTTAATATATCCGTTTGATCACGTCTAGAAAACTGTTGAAAAACAAAAAAAATATTTGTAGTTAGCGCTCATTTCGTGTGGAAATAACATTGAAAATTGCTGAACATTCGAACATTGAACTCCTTAGTATTGTTTGATATCTAATCCCCATGTGGTCGAACCCAGATCATACAGATCTTGCGGCCATTACATAATATTCCGGCAACTGAACTAATCATATTGCACTACCAATATCAATGCCTGGTAGGGTCACAGATGAGAACTTCTGAAATGTTCTATAATAGGATAAAAAACTGTCCATTGTCATCTGAATTTCGACTAACATCTAGCGTCATACAGTTCATGACAGGTTGAATTGAATTAAGTCCATTCTATCTACTCAGGTCTCTTCACAGGATACAATACATTTGCAACTTCTATACGATGAGGACTAAATAACTGGAATTCTTTGTATTATTATTATTATTATTATTATTATTATTATTATTATTATTATTATTATTATTGAGATAGTGTTGATTATAGTTCAAAGCAAGGCAAAGGAAAAATATCCATAAAAGATAAGGATTTATTTCATCAACAGCAATACGTAAACTATATTTTTAACCAATTACACCTTTGAGAGATGTCATGATGACTTTGATAGTGTGTACCTAATAATTAGGACAAAATGAGGGTTATAAACCTATTTGAAGAATTAGAATTATGATTTACAGTTGATGATAAGACTAGGTATTAGATTTACGGTTTTCATCGTGATCTAATGCCGAAATGCTATTTAGTCAAATGAATGAGTGAATTTCGCGCCAAAATCCATGACCTGTTATGCCTGATTGATTCGTTCAGAAACATTATCGTTTATTCATTCTGAAAATGACAAATGATTATACATCACTCCTAGTTTATACTTTTTTTTCTTGTTTAGAAACTTTAATTAATAACAAATTGGGAAAAGATAAATAAGACTAGAATTTGGCAATAAATAGAAAGTTTCACAGATTGAAATCATGAGTCAGTTGAAGCTAGACCATCATTGAAAACCTGGGAGCACTGGACGGCCATTTCGTCCTAGTATGGGACTCCCCAGTAGTGCGCATCCACGATCCCGCACCACCCGGGGCTCGAACCCAGGACCTACTGGCTTCGCGCGCGAGCACTTAACTATTAGACCACTGAGCCGGCATCCGACGGTGTTAATGTCTAACTTCAACCAATCCACGAAGTTGCGCCACCGTACACCATTGTCTTCAGTGAGTTCCTATCTCACAACAGACCTGGTTGAACTCCACTGGCAACGGCTTCTCACTAGAACTTCGGGAGTTTTTCCTGAAGTCAGAAAGATTGAAAACATAATAAACGAAGGTAGATTAATCATTATTGAAATGATATATCTATCTATTGAATTAGAATGCGATTGGTTTAATGGAAATAAACATTATTATAACCAATTGTACCAGTGGTTGTTTTACCGTGCTTGTTTGCTTAACTGTACTAAAAAAAAACATCCACTATTCTCTTCTTTCGATTGTGGCCTCGCGTGAATTCGGTTACGCTCAGTAACCAAGCTTGTATCCTGGCATGATCTCGGTATTCTTTCGATACCACGAGATCGTCAGCAAATATATCTGAACTACGTCCATTAACTACCTTCTGATATTTGGCTCCCGGAAGATGTTATCGATATTCCGTACGCAACCTTCCTTTAGTGATGTTCATAGTCAACCGCGACTCGACGCCATGCTACAGTGTAAACATATGTACTATTTTCAAGTGAACGAAATACATCTGTTAAGATATAGACCAGAGGTAAGATTTTATTTCACTAAACTCAGTCTTGAAGTTATACCATCATAAATATTATACTCTTTTTCTTTTAATCCTTGGATGTTTATTACTTGATGTTATGAAATAATACTTGCAATTTACAACTGTAGGTCGGTAGTGGAGAACTGGTAAAAGCAATGCAAAAATCAGATTTATAAAAAATACTAAAATGTTTTTGAATGATAAAAGTCTTCATTCTTGAACTTTTAAATCATGATATCATAATTGAAAGAAGAATAACTACGTTCAGTTTTGGGTGATTGACTGAAATCTAACAAAATATCGTTGGTAAGAATAGGTTGATTATGAGTACAGTGGTCTTGAGTGCTGTTAGAGGTATGAGGGAGGTTTTCACTTCCCGGTTGCACACACCGTGGAAAGGTTCTTCTGGAGGTACCTCAAAAAAGAAATCTGATTAGAGGTGGTCTTAGTGACCTGAGAGCGTGACCGCAGTGCCCAAGAGACAACTGCTTGAGGTCGGTCACACACGACCTTTTTATGAGTAATTTTTGTGTTAGCTCCGTACTTGTTGGGACCTTACCACCGGAGACGGATATCCGTGGGATAAGCCGGCGAGGTGTGCATTTTTAGGGTCGACCTTTTCTAACCCACCCACCCCTTCTTGTGGGAAGGCAAAATCGCTGTCATGTTGATTGTCTGAAGGAAACATCTTACTGTTGTCACACTTCTGTACAGTCAGTAGTACGACTTCTCCTTCGGACCTGGGGTTTGTTGCTTTTAATCTTACTGCTCTTCAAGCGACCTGTCTGACATGGTAGGATCTTGAGGAACGGTTTCTCCAGCCAATATAGCTTGGTGGCTTCATCATGATAGGCAAGCCCGACCACCACGTCAAGGTAGCAACAACGCTCGGGGTTGGTAAGAAACAATGATGCAAACTAATAAGATTAGTAATCAACAATTTTTATTGGTTTTTGAAATTCATAGAGCTAAGACGATTGCATCGGAAGTTCCTGTCGATTTGGCAAAAATTAATTATTGTCTATTGAACTTACAAGTTTCAGTTTTCTTAAAATACATCTGAACAAATAATACTGTTTTCGGTAAGATCTCCAGAACGCTTTACGTCTGTTTACATTTATATATTCGACTATAGAAGTAAAATATAAAACGCTTTCGATGCTTATTTTAATGACTAATGTGTGTACTAGACTTCTGATTCGAATCAGCCTGTTTAATGTTTCGGGGTATAGATAACAAACCCTAACTCTATACAATCAAAGAAGAACCTATGACTTATGAACTATGTTTAAATCTTAGAGTTATGTTGTTTTCGATTCGTGGTTAGTTTAGTTAACATCTTGTTTCAATGCTTTAAAAGAATTAACTGATAGCTTCTTGTTGTAGGTAGAACGAAAACAATCACAGTGGCTTGTCTAATGCTTTCAGTTTTTTTTTACGAATAAAGTTTGTTCATGACAGAAAGTATGAACATTCGAGCT